TCTGTCTGTCTGTCTGTCTTTCTGTCTATCTGTCTGTCTTTCTGTCTCTCTATCTGTCTCTCTATCCGTCTGTCTGTCTGTCTTTCTGTCTGTCTGTCCGTCCATCTCTCTGTCTGTCTGTCCATCTGTCTGTCTGTCTCTCTGTCTGTCTGTCCGTCTTTCTGTCTGTCCTTCTGTCTGTCTGTCCGTCCATCTGTCTGTCTGTCCGTCTTTCTGTCTGTCCGTCTTTCTGTCTGTCCATCTTTCTGTCTGTCTGTCCATCTGTCTGTCTGTCCGTCTGTCTGTCCGTCTTTCTGTCTGTCCGTCTGTCTGTCTGTCTTTCTGTCTGTCTGTCCGTCCATCTCTCTGTCTGTCTGTCCATCTGTCTGTCTGTCCGTCTTTCTGTCTGTCCATCTCTCTGTCTGTCTGTCTGTCTGTCCGTCCGTCTCTCTGTCTGTCTGTCCATCTGTCTGTCTGTCTGTCCATCTGTCTGTCTCTCTGTCTGTCTGTCTGTCTTTCTATCTGTCTGTTTGTCTGTCCGTCTTTCTGTCCGTCCATCTGTCTGTCTGTCCGTCTGTCTTTCTGTCTGTCCATCTGTCTGTCTGTCTGTCCATCTGTCTGTCTCTCTGTCTGTCTGTCCGTCTTTCCGTCCGTCCATCTGTCTGTCTGTCCGTCTGTCTTTCTGTCTGTCCATCTGTCTGTCTCTCTGTCTGTCTGTCTGTCTTTCTATCTGTCTGTCCATCTGATTTTAAGGGGTTGTTGTTAAAGTTCCCCTGTAGTGAAAATCAAGTTTTTTAATGTTGTTTATTTGTTTATGTGATGTTTTAATGAGCTTTTAGACAAACCATGTGCCAATCCATTAATCAGCACCATTGATGAGTATTTTCTCCTTAAATCTGAGTATTTTTTCCTTAAATTTCCCAAAGGCAGTCCCAGAAACGCGGTTTGAAACAGCCCTCGGTGTGCTACGTCACAAAATTCAATAATCACGTCAAGGGATAGATTCCTATAATTAGCATATGCCTCTCTCCATTTATACAAACGCAGAGCGCATAGAGATCAAAGCATAGAGATCGCATGCAAAATATACCAGTAGGATTACCAGCACAAAAATAAAATAGCGCAAAAACCCATGAAGCTGTGGTTTAACATGAATTTAGAACTGCTAACTTGAATAATAACCCGCGGCAACAGTGTAAAGTAGCCCGGAGTCAGACCCACCTCTCCCGCATCGGCGTCCGCTCTTCACACGCATTGCTCACGGGCGCGAATTGAGAATCACAAACTTGGCTGCATTCGAGTCTTCAAGGCATTTGAGGACACAACATAGTCAAATAAGTAACTTTAACGACTGTTACAGTATCCACTGTAGTTGTCCGCTAGTAAAAACATAGTTTTATCAGTCATTATCCGTGGATCAGTAGGCGCTGGCTGGTGTGACTGAGTGGAGGCGGGGCTAATTTGCATATTCATAGATCCGCGTATACTAAATGAGGCAAGGGTGTAGAGTTACATTCAAGCTATTTTAAGGCATGAGAAAATTATTTTCACAAGAAAAAAACATTTAAATACGTAGTTTTGATGATCACAGACGAGTTTTAAGGGATACAATTTTTGACTACAGGGGGACTTTAAGATTACTGAATGGCAGGTCCAACACAAAAAATGTTTAGTGAAGTTTTGTTCACACCTCAACTGAAAAAAGCACAGAATAAAACATTTAAGAATCAATATCAGTTCTTAAAATACGAATCAGTTTAAACAGAAAATTGATACTGTTCCAACACAGCCTGAGTGTGTGTGAGGTTGTTTTCCCATCATCCTGTGTGTGGTCTGTCGGTCTGTGACTGACGCTCTTCCTCTGCTGATTAAAGTCTCCTGATCTTTGGTGTGAATCCAGCTGGTCCTCGTGCTCCTGCAGACGGTGCGTCTGCACTGTGGGAACCGGCCCGACCTTTGACTCCGTGTGTGTCTGTGTGTCCAGATGAGAACGAGTGCCAGAACGGTCAGATATGCGGCGGTGCCTCGTGTCACAACACGCTGGGCAGTTTCCGCTGTCTGTGTCCGACGGGCTTCGCCTTCGAGCAGTTAACCGGCGGCTGTCAGGACGTGAACGAGTGCAGCTCGACGCAGAACCCCTGCAGCTTCGGCTGCTCCAACACTGACGGAGGATACCTGTGCGGCTGCCCACCTGGATACCTGCGAGCTGGACAGGGGTCAGACTCACACACACAGACACACAGACACACACACACACAGACACACACACACACTCACTCACTCACACACTCACGCACACACACAGAGACACACACACACAGACACACTCACGCACACACACAACACACAGACACACTCACTCACACACACACAGACACACACACACACACACTCATGCACACACACACAACACACAGACACACACACACTCACGCACACACACAGAGACACACACACACAGACACACTCACACACACACACACACACACACACTCACTCACACACTCACGCACACACACAGAGACACACACACACAGACACGCTCATGCACACACACACAACACACAGACACACACACACACAGACACACACACACACACACACTCACGCACACACACAGAGACACACACACAGACACGCACACACTCTCACACACACACACACAGAGACACACAGACACACTCACTCACACACACACACACACACAGAGACACACACACACAGACTCACACACACACACACACACAGACACACACACACACACACACTCACGCACACACACACAGACACACTCACGCACACACACACACACACACTCACACACACACACACACACTGTAGCAGACATGAGCAGAAACTCTCATCTTCCAGATTTGAAGGAAACTCTGTCGCCCCCTTCAGTACTAAACTGTTACTGCCACATTGACATGATGTACCAGTGGTGTTATTACTAACTAAAACTAGTGGAAATTATTTTCGGTAATTGAAATAGAATATAAATACTAGATCAAAAAACTCAAACTTGGAAGAAAAAAAAAGAAATGTTGCCTTTGCAAGTAACTGAAATAAGTTAAATTTTTTATTTAATTTTTAATTTTAGAAGTTCCAAAATTATTAAAACGGATTATTATAACTAAACTAAAAATAGAAATAGAAATATTAAACACCCAAATTGAATAAAAAATTACAAAACCACAAAACAAAATGATTTGAAATTAAAATAAAAACTCAAAATATAAAAATAAAAGCAACTTTGAATATGAATAAATACTGTAATCGTTTATATTACTGAATTAACACCACATGATGTACACCAGTGCTGTAGAAGTTCAACTATTGAAAATTGTTTTTGGTAATTTAAATGAAATATAAATATAGCATGAAAAAATGCTAATGAAAACAAAAAATCTGAAAATAAAAGCTTATCAAAATATTACTAAATACTATAGTGGTATGTAAATAAATAATTTTTAGTACCGAAAACATAAAACTTAAAAATGGTTTTCGGTAACTAAAATAAAATATTAGATTCAAATGTAAAAAACAAAAACTAAACGTATGATATTATAGCATCAAACTGAACAAGTAGTGAAGCTGAAATTATTAAAAATGTTTTTTGGGAATTAAAATAAAATATTAGATATGTAAACTAAATAATATAATCTCAAATTTAAAAAAACTTAAATTAGAAATGTTGTCTTGGCAACAAACTGAATAAAATTTATTTGAAGTACTAAGACTGAAATGAAAATAAAGCAAAATAGAATTATTAAAAACAAAAACTAATAAAAATGTCAAAACCAAAAAAATTCAAATTAAAATAAACTTTAAATATAAAAATAAAACAAATTTAAAATATTGTAAATACTCTAATAGTACAGAAATAATACTAAAAGAACACAAACGCATACATCAGGACTACTGTACAGTTTCCTACTTGATGAGCACATCAGTGTTCTGCGGATTCTGATGTTTTGTGGTGTGTGTCTGTCTGTCTGTGTGTGCGTGCGTGTGTGTGTGTGTCTGTGTGCGTGCGTGTGTGCGTGTGTGTGTGTGTGTGTGTGTGTGCGTGTGTGTGTGCGTGCGTGTGTGTGTGTGTCTGTGTGCATGCGTGTGTCTGTCTGTGTGCATGCGTGTGTGTGTGTCTGTGTGCGTGTGTGTGTGTGTCTGTCTGTGTGTGCGTGCGTGTGTCTGTGTGCGTGCGTGCGTGCGTGCGTGTGTGTGTCTGTGTGTGCGTGCATGTGTGTGTCTGTCTGTGTCTGTGTGTGCATGCGTGTGTGTGTGTCTGTGTGCGTGCGTGTGTGTGTGTGTCTGTGTG